AGAGCGATATAAAGCGCGAGATGCTGCTATTTATCTCTTGCGCTTTATGTCGCGCAAACTGACCGCGCAAAGTTCGTGTACCAGTGTGACTATTATTTATATTGAAAGTCTGAAATACAATAACATAATTAGAGTTTCCGTACAATGAAAATTATGTTTAATATCAAATCTTTGATGCATTGTTCTGTACATATTTTTTTTTTACATAAAATAAAAAGTGGTTTATAATTGCATAATTACCTTACGAAAGAGTTCGTCCAGGGAAGTACTACCACGTACTACTTACCATAGGTTAATTTCTGCTGCCCTTTATGGCGCTCTCGCGCAAGTCGCGACTAATCATGCTAGCTCTACTGGAAAGGAACGGTACGTCGTTTGGGGATGCTCCATTCATGCTTTATGAATTCACTTAATTAATTGATTATTATATCGACAGTGTTATAGCCTAGCGCTCATCACTCGCCTTACAATGACTATATTATTACATTTAATGGTGCATTGAGGCTGGAAATACAGCTCCTTAAAAAGGGTCCCTGTGCAAGTGACTATCAGCGCCTCCTAACGGTAGAATTAAGAATCATTCATTGCGTTATATTTGTCAAACTTAGAATCAGCAGAAAACGTAAATGATTGTCTTTTCCAGTACTTCTAAAGTACTTTATTGAAGATAATAGTTACAAATAATGAACATATCGGATCCTTGTTTAAGATATCCTTTAATAATATATGGTAATCCTGATCTTTCCCGTGGAACCCTAACTTTTTTTTTTTTAAATAATAACGCATGTAATTGCGATGCCCCTCTTGATTATCTACCTGAGCGATCATTATCAATAGGGTTACTTGCATCGAGGGTGCACTATCTATTGTGACATACGATCGCACCTGACTGTCTACCTTTTGATTGACGCGCGCCACGCTCCTGTATTAACCCGCGTAAATTCTTTACAAAGGATGTTGTTAATTATTATATGTAAATTTTCGAATTTATTACTGTAAAATAAAGGCATAATTTATATATCAAATCAAAATTACTTCAAATCTAACGTGGGACATGCAAAACAATTAAAAAAATAAAATACTAATTAATGATATAACGAACTTAATCTATGTTCAGTTAGGACTTTAGAGTAGATAGCCCTAGCTGATATTTTCGCTGACATTGAGATCTTTTCGTCTGAATGTCGGCAATGTTTGAGACGTTGCCCCTCTTCAAGGAGGAGCTAGATCATTCTATAGTTTAGGTTAAGTTCTTTTCGAAAGATAGTGACAGCATCGACTTTTTTATGATATCAACGTGACGGGACGAACAAGTTTTGTGCCTGGTGGTAACCGACACGCTTATCCATAACAGTTGCAGTGTTACTCGGATTTTTAAATTGCAAAGATCTGAAAGGTACAGCCACTGCGCCCCTCACCTTAAGACACAAAGTTAACATGTCCCTTATGCCTGTAGTATTTCTTAATGGTACAGATTACAAAATAAAACAAAATAGATTAATAAATAACATTTAAAAACAATGAAACTTAAGACATCGGTAAAACTGCATTCCAATGTCAACTCGCACAGCATTAAAGAAAAATAGAAATAGTGTGATCTGGTAAAAGTAAAGAATCATTTTAAAAATGTCTAAAATTTTAAAAAACTTCCTATTAAATGACTTTTTATTTTTTTAACACGGAAGGCTATTATGAGTGCTACTTCGGAACCACAACTCCATTATGCTAACGTTACTGCTTGGCGGTAGAAATAGGTAAGTTGGCAGTACTTCCCCGGACGAACATTTTCATAAGGAGCTGTCTTGCTACTAAATAGAGTATTTTTAACCTTTGTCACCCAAATTGGTTTGAATACGCGTTTGAGGTGGTTTGGGCTCATGGAACGGTTGAATGAAAGTAGAATGGCGGAAGAAATAAATAGAATCATTGTGAAAGGCGACATTGGAAGAGAACGCCTGACGGCCACAATGCATGTTCACAGATCAAATCGAGAATGTTTTTAAAAAGGTTAGACTGCGCAGTGACATGAATAGGATCTTTAAAAGATTGATGAATGCAAGTGAAAACGAAGGTTAGCCAGGATCGCCCAAGTGAATCCAAAGCCTCGTGTACATATACATGTCTGTTACAATATTTCCTGCCAGTCATGGTCTTGTCGTTGTAATGATTAACTGTCCTCGTGCTGTTAGGTTATTGGGAATTGGAGAGGCGTCGAGAAGTGAGCGTGCCTATATCTCCGGTACCTATCTCGAAAATAGGGTAGTGCTGTACGTGGGTCCGGGGCGGCTCGTCTAAGGCTAGTCTTCTGAGAATCGGATGTAGTCCGTGCAAACGGCCTGATCTGTGGTCCTGACTTGTGTAGGTCCCTGTGCGGGCTTCCTTGCACAGGTGTCCTTCCCGTATAACCAAGAAGTTGATAGGAGGGCTCTATAAACAAAACTTGTCGTCGTCTTAAGAGTGAATACATCGTATGCGATTTCCATGTAATTTTTCAGGACGAAGATAGAAATGTGGTGTGAAATGTAGTGAAGGCAATAATGTTTGTAGTTAGCATTTTAATTAGTCAAATTATATCTCTTTCAGATACTATATTACTTTAATAAATGTTTGAGCAAGAATTTTGCAAGTTTTTCTTCAACTAAAATCAGTAAAAATGGAACTATGTGAAATGTGAGGTTTACACTCTAAGGCGACGTCAAGTAGAAAAGATATGGAAGAGGAACGACTGTTTCGTGCTGCTCCTGTGAATAATACTTTAACATGAGTACAGTGTTAAAGGTAGCCCTTAGCCGTTAGGCACAAGATAAAAGACCATGTCCCAACAAAGTGTAAAAACCATACCCACCGCGTACCGAAATGACATATGGATAGATTTACAGAAAACTATTAGTACTTTACAATGGTATTGTGTCGCTTTACTGGGAATTATTAAATAAAAATAAAAAAAAATATTTTTAGTCTAATAAATGTGCGTTAGTAACGCACACGCACACACTCAACATAAGTTAGTGCAAAATTTTTGTGTGTTTTGTATTTATTGTTGATCACCCAGAGAACGATTTTGGTCTTACATTCCTATTACAGCTGACCGCGCAAAGTTCGCGAACAACTGTGACTTTTATTTATTTTGAAAGTCTGAAATACAATAACCTAATTAGGTTTTCGTACAATTAAAAATATGTTTAATATCAAATTTTTGTCGCTCTGTTAACCCTGTAGATTATCAATATTAATTTTTTTATATGAAATAAAAAGTGCTTATATTGCATAATTTAACAATGTAGTTTTTGTACGCAAGCATTTAGTAACAGGAGTGCACCTTATGAAAGAGTTCGTCCAGATAGTACTGCCACATTCGTATTTCTGCCGCCATCAAGCAGTAATGTCAGCATTACTCATTTCCGATTTTGAAGGGTAAAGGTGCTGGTAAAATTATAGGCACATAGGACTTGTCAACTTATGTCTCAGGGTGACGGGCGCAGTGGCCCCTGAGATCTTTGCGATTTAAAGCTCTGAGTGGCACTGCAACTGTTATGGACAGGCGTGTGGCTTGCCATCAGGAGCACGACTTGTTCGTCCCGTCTCTGGATATTACAAAAAAAGTACTCGGCTAATGCTTTTGCCGTCTTTAAGCAAAGGGTATGACGTAATACAAAAACGATTTTTGACGACCTCAATGGTAGAGTAGCTTGCACACCGGTTTTCATAGTGAGGTCCCGGGTTCGATCCCCGGTCGGGTGAATGTAGAAAACTAACTTTTCTACATTGTCTCGGGTCTGGGAGTTTATAGCACCATCGTTGTTTCCGATTTCCATAATACTTGCGTTTCTTACTTTGGGATCAGAGCAAACAGTCGTAAATAACTGTTCTCAATATAAGAACTTTTTTTTTACAAATTGATTAATGTTTTCAATTCAGTAGTGCATGTAGACGTCACTATAGGACCTGTAAATGCCCAAAACGTTGGTTTGTTTGAAAAAACAATAACATACGCGGTTTAGATCCTAAACATTTTAAATTTTTAACCATTTTGAAATTTTTCTTGTTATTTTTTTGTGATTTCTTTTAGATTAGGAACTATATTTTCATTATCTATATTTGCGGATGCGTAAAATGAAACGCAATTTCATATTAACTTCATTAGATTACAGAGACATTTACTTGACTGTTTACCTTTTGTATGTATCGTCCAGAACGTCCATTTTTAGTAATGGGAATAATGGGCCTCGCGTCTGAGAAGAGACATTTAAAAAAGTAATTTAATAACAAATCTATATTTTTTATCTGCTACTATTAGCAGATTACTTTAAATCAACCTGTGTATAAAATCAGGTATTACGTCGTCCAATAAAATGTACAAAGGGAAAGTTTGCAATTATATTGCTTGCGTCTCTTTCACTACCGCGACAGGTGGGGTGGGGGTGTGAGACAGGTGTATCTGTTAGAGTGAGATGGATATACAGAAATAGGTAGGTATTATCGGGATATTCTGGGAAGTTTCGGTCCGGAGACGATTTGCCTGGGAGATCTCCGGCGACATGGAGGTGCCGCGGTACCGGTCATACTACTCTTGTGAGTGCCGCCCTGTGCTAAGCTCTTAGGAGATCATAACTTGTTTCCTATACCTCTCTTATATCAGCCAGATTTTGATTATCATTTGGTGTGCTTTTGGGTTTTGTAAATTTCAAATTAGATTTTTTGTTTTAGTCAACTCCTTTGTAGTTTTTTTACGTTAACATGTTTTTAAAGTAAAACTAATCTATGCCTTAATTTCTCATTCTTACACTCAAAACATTTCATTTGCTTTTCATGCGGCTTATCGGGTTCTTAATTTTAACTAACCTGAATTGCTGGGTAGGGGGCGCCACACCTAAAGATGTACAATCTGTCGATTTTCTTTGTTTGAAATTTCACCTTACCTCATACTAAAGTGACAGCGTGTATATCAATCGGTGTTTTAATGTACTTATTTTAATACTGATATTAATTTATCTTTGCAGGCGAGGGTGGTAACGGCGTCAACTACCACGTGCAATATGTGGAACCGCAGGAGATTTACACCCAAGGACATCAGGGACATATGTAAGCAAATATATTTTTATCGAGTTCTTAGGTTTTCGCGATTGTTGCACATAGGTTATGAAATTTTTCCGGATTTACAACGCGTAGGTACGATTGGGGCCCTTTACAGGTCCCGTGGTCACGGTTGGCTGAGGTGGTACAGCCATCAACCAAAAACGTTGGTTTGTTTGATAAAACAAATATACGCGATTTAAATCAGGAAAAATAGTTTCATTTTCTAAATATATTTATTTTAACTTTTGAATTAACTTAGACGATAGCTGTGACGCAACATTTTTAAATAGCTATAGTGTTGGTTTCAAAATTCGATACAAGTTTCGTCATTTTTATTATGCAAAAGTAACTACAATATTGACAATAACAATTTTTTTTAATGAGACTAATTCTTTTTTAATAAGCATAATAATATTTTTTTATTTATGTGCCACCATTTTAGAATCGAAAAGTAACTATAATAATGACACTGTGCTACATGATTTTTAATTTTGGATTCACAATATCATTTTCTGATTGGCTAGAAACAATTAGAACCAGTTAGAATCACAAAAACATGAAAGAAAAGCTTTATTTATGTTAAAACTTTGCTTTTGTAGTTAGGACAACGAAAAGTACAGCGTACTTTTAAAGAAAATACAGGTTTTTTGGTTTCTCATTATTTAAAGACAAAAACGGAACATTGCATTTTAAACCATAGTATATTTCAATCAAAATTCTATAAATTGTTGACAAAGAACCTAGAAATGTGTTTTGCGACATTATGTAAATACCAATATGTAACTAATCTTACAAGCCTTTTCTTGTATGAATTTGTTATACTATGTGAAGACTACAAAAAACAGCCATTTTATTGTTATCTCTAATTATTTTTCATGATACTTGCTATTCTTAACATAAATTACATTTCGAGTTCTTAGGTTTTCGCGATTGTTACACATAGGAAATGAAACTATTTTTCCGGATTTAAATCGCGTCTATTTGTTTTTTCGACCCGACGTTTCGGGCCCTTTACAGGTCCCATGGTCAGTCAACCGTGACCATGGCACCTGTAAAGGGCCCGAAACGTCGGTTTGTTTGAAAAAACAAATATACGCGATTTAAATCCGGAAAAATAGTTGCATTTCCTATAAATTACATTTTCAAAAATGTACTGTGAAAGACAATTAGAAGACGCTAGAGTAAGAATGTTAATAGTAATAACAATAGAAAGCCGTGTGATCCCTAAAAATCGTTAGAGGACACAAGTGCCCAGTAGTTCACTTATCAGGTTTTTAGTGAGTAATTTTTTTTTTTTTAGCTCGTGAAAAAAATTGTCCTTTCGACCGTGCGCATTTTGTATAAAGAAGCAAAAGCTATTGTTCACGCATTTGGATTTATATTTTTATTAAACTATTAAATTGTTTATTACACAAAGAAAATACTTTAAAAACACTTGTTACGTAGGATTTATATAAAAGTGAGCTTATTTTTAGAAGAGATCTCTTCCAGTAAACCCTAGCTGCGGTGAAGAAAAAGTCTGCGAGACTATTTATTGTAAAATAAATAACGTAAACGTACATAAACGGTATGTGCGTAAAAACCAACATAAATACAATAAATCTTCTTTGTCCCTTGTTTTGACGACCTCTGTGGTCGTGTGGCTTGCACACTGGTTTTCATGGTGTAGGCATCTGTAGGCATATATCTGATGTCCCGGATTCGACCCGCGGCCGGGCTAAAGTGGAAACTAACTTTTTATACTGTATCGGGTCTGGGTGTTTTTGGTACCGTCGTTTCCGATTGTCATAACACAACGAATTTTGATTCATGCAGAACTTAATACCGACAGGCGGCTATGAATATGTATATTACATATGTCTCCTATTTCTATTTTTCATAGACATAGTTCTAAGTGTATGTATGAATTTTCAAAAATTGACTATACAAAAAAACCTATGCCCAGTAGTAAAACCCATAATGTGCCGATGATGATCAAATGAAACAAGTTCGACTGTATATGCGTTATTATTATTATTATATTGCATAAGCGTTACCAACATTTAGTTGATAGTCGATAGAATATTTATCGACTGCCATCACTAGCTGCTTGCAAGCTGGGCAACATTGTTGTGCAATGAACTGTCATTGTACTCCATCGAGTATATAACTAGAAATAGAGACTAAATAAGGGCCATCCATGCCTGGCAACGCATCAGGCAAATGGACCTTATATCACTTTTAAATATCAATTCTCGTTTGCGCTGACATCACAAATTAGAAAGCTGAAATAGTACAGCGCCAACAACCGACCTGTGTGTACGTCTCCGTATATTCCAAAAATATTCTGTATTTATTGTAATAAAGATAATATCTCTAACTATGGCAGCTGTTCCATTCGATGGTGTGGGGAAAAACAGCAAAACATCCAATTACAACACAAACGGAATCACATTTCATCGGTAATCAAATATTAAATATATACACCCGTCAATTGTTTCGAATTCGGGCTGGCCAATCGGGGCGCAGTTGTCACCGTAATGATTTGGCAGAATAGTTTTCAAACAAATTAAATGACATTTCGTCTCTATTTCTGGTTATATACTCGATGTTGTACTCCATATTCAAAAAAGGTAGACTATATGTATGTCGTTTGTATAAAAACTGTTGCTTTCGTTATTTATAACTGCGGATGTAGTAGGTATAAATAACTACACCTATATTATGTTACAAAAGCAAATGCACGAGAAATATCAAAGGTAAAAATGTATTGTATCATGTTTGGGCAACTCTGATAAAGTAAAAGGAAATGGCTGCCTCGTGACACGATACAATTGGCAAATATGGCTTCCGAAACATTTCATTGATGTTATTTTCCCTTTTATGTTACAAATAACTGATTACGCACTGCGAGGGGTTATTTCAGTGGTTGATGGAGATGTTGTGACGTAATTAAGATTCATTATACTACAAATAATTTGAATGCAGAATTGTATATTTTTTAATTCTTTTTTTATGTGCCGTTAAAACACAGACTTAACTGCAAAAAATTGTGATCCTAAATCATTTTTAAAATGCGATTTTAAGGAGAAAACAGAGACGCATTATGAATTTCTTCATTTTTCTATAGAGGGCGTAATGCGTAATGAAATATTATAACAGTTACGAGCTCTTCAAATGTGCTCAGTAGCCCTAAATATTTTTTTATTATTTTTATTTTCTGTAAATTTTGCAAAATGTAAGTTAGATCATTTTTTTTAACACGCACACGCTCATAGCTTAGGTAAACCCTGTATCGCGGGTGTCATGGACACACACATAGACAACCACAAATTACGCCCAAACTCTCGAGAGAAATAAATGCAGGCAATTCAAATATTTCTCCCGGCTCGGGAATCGAACCTGGGACCTCGGCGTGGCACTCCAGGATGGTAACTGTTCGGCCACAGAGGCAGTTCATTGTTTCACCGGAGGTACGATATTTTGTGGCGCAGAATGTAATCGAAATTGAGTTTTAAATTATCTGATATCAGCGAAACTAGACCTACAACCCTCTCTAATCATTTTTTTTTAAATATCTTATTTAGTTTCAGTTTTATTGTTAAGCAAAATTAGCACCATTTACATTTTATATTAGCAAAAAACTGTAGGTCCAAAATAAAATTTTATTCTTATTTTCTTTTTTTTTTTATTCACAACATATCGTTTTACTTATTAATACACTATAACAATACAATACAATACTCTATACTGTATCTATATCTATATTAATTAATACAATACTCAGAAAAAATTCCTTCGATCCGGTCGGATTCGAACCGTCGTCTTCTTGCATACCGTGCCAGACGCTATACCAACTAAGCCACGGAACGAACCAACGGACCTCACGAATCTTTCTATGTGCTTGCGTCGTGTCTTTGTATTTGGTTTTTCAACGACTTTTTAGTCCTAGCGCCATATATGAGAAATCTATGAAAGATTTATCACCCAGTTAGTACCTTTACAGCTACCAGTCCTGGCGAGTGATGTCGCTATTCACTGTATTAATGAAATTTTTATTGAATTGATATTCAATTCTTTTTTTTTGTGAAATTACTCCACTAGTTTGTTATACTTATTAATACAAAGATCGAACACTCAGAAAAAAATCCTTCGATCCGGTCGGATTCGAACCGACGTCTTCTTGCATACCGTGCCAGACGCTATACCAACTTCACAATTAATTAATTAGTAATTTCACAAAAAAAAGAATTGAATATCAATTCAATAAAAATAACATATCGTTTACCAATTTTTATATTAACGTATTGTGTTAGGTAGGCTTGCCATGGACCTCTGACATTCATTACACGTACCTCTTGGGGGTACCTCCATGGACCACAGGTTAAGAAACCCTGCTATAGGTGGAGAAGTCTCATTCGCTCATAATCAAACGTACATATAACTTTTGACTTTTTGTGATGTTGTAAGTTATATTTTTCTATAAAATGTACAATATTGAAATTCAACAGGGATACTCTCCGTTCGTACCCGGTATACGGGGTCACGACCGTTGGTAACGCGACCTCGTCCACGGAAGGGACGTCCGCCGACAACGGGTGGGGTGGTGCATCCTCTGCCGAATACACCGCGTATGGTGTAGTTGTGAGTTATTAATTTTATTATTTGGACGTTTCTTATACAAATTTAATTATTATTCGCCGGGTGAATGAACCCCGAATATACGAGGAATGTGTGAAACTGCCACGATAACTTCGCAAGGTTTCTAAATTAAAACCTGTACAAATGCACGCTGGATATAGATATGTTTACCACTGAAAAGCGATGCATTGACTGGTATCATTGACTTACAATTATATGGACGTCGGGTCCGCGCTAAAAAGTGTCCGAACTTATAGGGTGTTAAAATCGTATACAGAGCGTCATTCACGCTCTAGTCTTCGTTTGTTCGACTGACAGCGAAGCAAGCAAAATTAGACAGTACTGCGATGACATTGCAATTTAAATTCAACGTTTTAGATTTTTCATATTCCTTGACATGTCACTACGGTTTTTGTATTAGACCCGTCGTCCATTTATTTGTAAGTCAATGACTGGTATAGTTTGTTTTCCCAGAAGAATATGAGATGTGTAAAAATGATGTACGGATAGTTTGAGCGTTAAAAGTGGTTTAGGTCAGGCAAGTTAGTATCATAACAGCGCAAAGCGTTCCGTGTTGGACACTGTCCAGTACCAGTCGATTGCGAATGATTTCGATATTCGACTTGTTAGTAATTACTATTCCTGTCATGCGACTGACAAATTAGTAATCTATTATGGTTGTGAATACAAAGATCGAGCACAGAAAAGTTATCGTCCACCCGGTGAGAGATGGATGAATCCGTGCTGCACCGTAGCATTGCTCTGACGTGGACGTGGGTGCAGTCCCACCGAACGGTTTTGTCAGTGCGTTCGATCTTTGTATTCATAATTGTTCGCGTCTTGTTCTTGCTACACAAACTACATATCTTGATTATAATGTTGATAAATAAATAATCCTTGTTGATCTTAAAAATGGTATTTATTTCGTTTACTTGATTACAAAATAAAATACGCGCTTGCTTATGACAATGCCTTGATTGCAAATGTGTAGAAATTATAACTAAACATAAAAACATAAAAATGCTGACGCGGTAACATACTTAATGTGCGGTATTAACCGTACAATAATAATTATAAAACTAAGGGATTTGTTTCACAAAAAGTCTAATAAATAAATTAATAATCTACTAATTTTCGTAATCGAATGAACTGAATGATCACTCATTACTAATCCATAGATTCCATGGAGCATTTCTGCCTAGTTCTTGACGCAATTAAATCGATTAGCGACACTAAAAAAATACAATCTGTTACTACAGAAACTACGAGTTAGACGTGATGTCCTATGTTATTTTACGGATACATACTAGCAGTTTCTACCGAACGTGTAAAATGTTTAAAATTGAAATAAATAAAATGGCCGCCGTATTCAAAGTTATATAGAGATCGAATCTAGAAATCTATTACAGACTTGTAGGAGGGTCGAGGGGAGGGGAAAATTAACAATGGGAGCAACTTTTCTCCCATTTTCCAATATGTCCGCCAATACAAGGGTGTCTACGTTCCTCGACACTAAAATATAAAAAAGCAGCGACGCCTCCGGCCGGGTTTCACTATGAGCGTGGGTTACGGCTTATATGATATAATAATATTTAACTTTTAGAGATGCTAAAAATACTTCAATGTTTGACGTCACTATTTTTACTTTATGGTATTCAAACTGATAAAGTCTTGAGACTTTTCCATCTAATGGAAAGTGGTAAATGCGATAATAAAGAAGTGTAGTTTATGTATTACTGAGCTTTCAACGTCGTGGCAATAAAAATGGAGGTTATTAATTTGCTGCGTAGTGAGCCGCTTCATTCACTTGTTCGTTTGTTACACATCCCCTGTTGTTATATCTATGCCAAATTTGACGTCGAATGTTTAATGATAAAATGTTGCTTGGCATCCAATGACGGCATAGGTAAAGAACATTTTTTTGTAAATGCTCATTATTTAGACTTGCTCTGCTCATGGCCCGCTGAAATTGAAATATAGATGGAATATAATTAATGTTTATCTGACCATTATTATGAAGTTTGCAAAGTACCTACTGATACGTGTAATTTATGAATAATTAATTAAGTTTTTGGTACTTATTAATTTTTACTGTTAGATAGTAGGTAATGGTAGATGGAAAGGATCAAAATTGTATAATTTTATTTTTATTAATTTTCTACATATCTCCTCCAGCACCAATTTTCGATTATGAACTTGAATACTATTGGTATTGTAATGTTTGCAATTTGTCTCTTCAAATAAAAAATCACCAGGGGTGGCACAGTTCTATAAATAATTAAATAGTGGTAATTTTTATGTTGGAAATTTCTATTGAACAAAATTCATTACAGATTTGACTTCAAGGTTAGTATTATCAAATAGACTTAATTGTAATGTGATAATCGTAAAACAGGGGTGAAAACCCTAAAGGTCACGTACTGACATTTATTCTACATCGAATTTGGCTGTAGTATAATTATTTCAATCTGTTGTAATACACTCAGATGTATTTGTTGGTTTGCGCAGTAACAAATTAAGAGTCTATACTACCTCAAATGGCTTTGGTAGATTCCGTAAAACAGTGAAAGTTTCAAATCGATCACTCTGGAAAAAGTTTATATAGTAAAATTGACGATATAATAGGAAAATATTCACGATAGAAAAAAAACACAAACTTACCTCGAAATTTTCTAAGAAAACTGCCGTATTCAAAAGGTACTTTATATATATATATATAATTTCGTTCGACCCAAGCAAAATGAACCGTATTAGTACGGGATACATTTCAATTTGAGCTGTTGTAGTATCGACTCTTAAATTACTTCCATTTTTATTAACATAGTCAAAGAGTATGCTGGGATTCTCTCTGAGAGACAAAAAGAGAGCTACGGACATACGAAGGCCTACTAAATTGAAGGATGTCACTAGAAAAAGGAAACACTAAAGTGGAAGTGGACTGGCTATACGTACAGGGAAAGAGTAGAAAAGTGGACCAGAGAGGTAACAGAATGGTAAAGAGGAAAAGAGGTCGTCTCTTTAAAAGATGGTCCAATGACTTTAAAAAAATAGCTGGACCTCTATGGACTAGGCTGACAAGAGACAGAGCCGGATGGATACAGCTAGTGGAGACCTATGCGTCTTCAGGATGCGCTGACGTTATAGATTAAGTAATTTATTAATATAATTGTTAATAAATTAACAAATTATTAACATGGACTTATGCAAAGTAACGCCTGAATGAATTACTTTCAGTGTAGTTTAAAAATTTCTAATGAGCTCGGAGAACACGCTTTCTCTTGTTACTTAGGTGGCGGGGGACGAGGCGGAGGCACCGGCCAGCCCCGCGACACCGGGCGCTGCGCCGCAACCACCGCGCATGCCTCCCGCTACTGTGCAATGGCTGCTCGATAACTACGAGACCGCGGAAGGTATTGTATTCAAATTCTTTATTGCGAATCATGTTGTACATTTGTAGTTGTTACAATCTTGTTAATAAACCAAACATGAATCCTGCAAGGACGCTGCAATCTTAAAAATTAAATTTATTTGTTTACGTGATAAAAAATAATCCATATTAAATAAATTATAAAATTAAATTTAACTAGGCATATTATTATGAAAATTGAAGAAGAAATTAAACTGTAAAAATAGAATAATCAATAAATCTATCTTGCTCTATATATATAATGTCCGAAAATTCAAAATCAGTACTTATTAATTTTACAACATTTTACAATTTCGTTATTTAAATTACATAAGTTTAATGATTCGTTTATTATTGAAAAACCAACAGAATAAAGACAAAACAATATGAACTTATGTTCCCTTGATGATAACAAAGTTTTAATTTGCCTCTGATATGCTTTTCATTAGCTACATCAACGAGAATGTGATGTGTTCAGTAAATAAGTATTTATTACTTAAAACCGATTTTATCTGTACCGATACAGAGTACTAAAAAAATCGACCTCAAAAGTACGTGGAATTAGGTCTATTTGCTAAGTTTTATTGAAATATTCCCTAGCTCGCCACTATACAGGACTTGACACTGGAGAGAATAAAAATCAGTTCTCACTACTCAAGGTATATTGAGAGAGAAAAACGCCTTGAATTGGAGAATAGCAAAATCAACCATTAAAACAATTGCTCCTTAAATAAATTTAGGCGCTATTTATAAAAATGAATCTTCATGCGTGAACAGCCACTCTTAGAGGCGGATGATTTTCTTCAAAATGAAATGGGACCACTACGGAGGTATCCTCTTTCCAACAAAAAAAGAATCGTGAAAATCGGTTCACAAATACCGGAGTTAACGCGTAACATACATACAAAAAGAACATATAGTCGAATTGAGAACCTCCTCCTTTTTTTGAAGTCGGTTAATGACGTTGTACTAAAGATGGTTGTTTTTAACGAGTTCTTAGGTTTTTGCGTTTGTTACACTTGGAAAATAAATAAATATTAAACAACACTACATACGTTGCTCCAATCCCAAAAATAAGTAACTAAAGACTTGTGCTGTGGATATCGGAAATAACGACGGTACTAAAAGTACTCAGACCCGAGACAATATAGAAAAGTTTTTTTTTCTACATTGAGTCGGCCGGGGATCGAATCCGTCCGGGACATCATAGATGGCGACACCATGCAAATCGGTGTACAAGTCACTCGACCACGGAGGTCGGAATCGGAAATAGAAAATGAACAATGTTTTTTATAGGCCACGGCTGACTGAGTTAGTTAAGTTAAGCAGTTATGTCTAATATTAATTAATTGCAAATCACCCTATTTTTCATTATAGCAATAAAAGTTATTAATTTTAAAAACTTTATTTTTAATTTACCAAAGAACATTCCAATACGTCATCATACATCGAGCAGAGGAGTCTCTGACTTTATAAGTCGAGTCTCTGTCTTATAAATAGACTCGAGTACTAATATCTCCACTATACTGTCGACTCTGTAGACTCGAAAATGTAGACTCTTGGATTTGAGTTATTTACAACACTAAGTTACTATTTCCTGTAAGAGAATATTGAAACACGTAGCTATCCAGTTTTCTAACCAACATTGTTTCACAGGGCTCCATACTGAATCCACTATTATTTATAATATTTAAATTTCTTTTAGGCGTATCTCTTCCGCGTTCAACTCTGTACTCACACTACCTACGTCATTGCGCATCTCACCGTCTGGACCCTGTAAATGCAGCATCTTTTGGTAAACTTATCCGATCCGTATTCATCGGCCTTCGAACCCGACGTCTTGGTACCAGAGGCAACTCCAAGTATCACTACTACGGAATCAGAGCCAAAGCGAATGTTGGCGATTCACCACCAAGACATGATTCCACCGAAGACAAAAGCGATGGTCAAAGTCAGCAAGTAAGTTAATATAAATTTATTTTTTATATTATTTCCAGTGTGTTCGCAAGGTACTTATTGGGGTGCGGTTATTTGCATAGGGTGGGTTGATACATTTAATGTTCCGTGGTTTCAATCTGTTTTGTCTGGGCCAACAAGTAATTCTGCGAAGATTCTTAAAAAATATATTTATTTTTTAATTGTTATAATTATTTATGGCATTTAAAATATACATACTCGATCGGGTATATAACCAGAAATAGAGACGAAATAAGGGCCATCCATACCTGGCAACTCATCAGGCCTTATATCACTTCTAAATATCAACTCTCGTTTGCGCTGAAATCACAAATTGAATGCTGAAATAGTGCAGCCCCAACAACGGACCTGTGTGTACGTCTCCGTATATTTCAAAAATATTCTGTATTTATTGTAATAAAGATAAATGACTCTAACAATGGAGGGTTGTTGTTTCGAATTCGGGCTGGCCAATCGGAGCGCAGTTATCACCGTAATGATTTCACAGAATAGTTTTCCAACAAATTAAATGGCATTTCGTCTCTAATTCTCGTTATATACTCGATGTACATACTATACTACTCTGTACTAAGGTCAATAACAAAAAAAAAAAGCCACGTCATTGCCATTCAGGCAAAAGCAAATTAAATTAAATTTAAGCTGAGTTCATCTATCGCGGTCGTTATTTGATACTACACTAAGAAAACGGCAGGATATTTAATTTTAGTTTGAGGCTGACAAATTTTCACACAAGTACATTCCGTCGGAGTAGTCAATGGGCAAACTTAAAAATGGGTACCGCCAATAAGTAAAAAGAAGAATGGGCATTGACTACAGGTAATAATAATAAATTGACTAAAGTATATGAATAAAATTGGTCCCCGCAGCAAGGTGCCCAAGATGCTGGCAGCGTTCCCGCTTTGTATTGCTAAGCTAATGCGTTGGGCAAGGTAGCTTGGATTTCGCAGACAGTCTATTAAGTTTTTCGATAAAATTTTGTACAGATGAAGGCCACTGGGACCCCACGGGCCAAGGGTTGCGACTCCAAAGGTTGTAAATAGGTAGTCGGACCCAAATCCTGGTGCTTATTATTTTTATTGTTTCCGCCAGCTCAGTTGACTAATTTGACAACTCGAAAATGAAATAAAATCACCTGCCCTTTTGTTTCTGATTTATATCTATATGTAGAATTAAAATTCTTGTAATTTAATAATATCCCGTGAGTCTTAAAATAGGGACACATAGTTGAAAATACTGTTATTGAGTAAGAAAGGTTTTCTTTGGCACGACATTGAGTAAATGTAAGATCTTAAACACTCGCGGTCTTAAGGTCGCGATTAAGTTAATGTCTCCTTGCTCGAGCAGGAGTCCCGCGACCGCGAGTCCGAGCAGAGCCCGATCGGCGGCGCCAGCAGCCTGGCCCACCGGCAGTACCTGGGGGCGGTGTCGGCGCCGGACCCGCCCGACCTGCAGCTCGAGGACCTGCCCGACGACGTGCCGCCGGCGGCGCTGGTCGCCTTGCGCAGGCATCACCGGTACGTAGCGTTTGGAAGCAATACACATTCTAGCCTAGCCTTGGCATAGTTACAGAGAAGGCTTGGTCCACATAATTTTTAATGCAAGATTTTTATTGTAGAGGCAGAAACAAGAAAAGGTATAGAAAAGGCTGTAATAAAAAATAATGGTATGATAAAAAATACAGGTGCAATACTATAAAAGACTCCCTTACTTAAATTACATACGGACATGCTTATGGATGATTATAAAGTAGACACTTAGCCGAAAAGGGCCTGTATTCGTACATGTATTGCTGCTTTATATGCAGTTAGGTTTACATGATTGAAGGACACGTCGTCTCTCTTCGAGAATTTCGATGGGAGTGACGACGGAACGAAGAAAAGTTAAGAATGACGAAGAAAAATAATTAGATAACGATTCAAAATTTCAAAAGGAAGTGGCCAGGGACCAGAGAAAAGGGTAATAAAAAGTTGGAATGACGATTAAAGAGGTCTCATCGTTACAACGTAATCTAGTTTTCAGCTCAATATTGTGTGTACTGTAACTGGGGGGTAGCTCGGATTGCGTAGCGAGAGGTACTTCTATGAATATAAAGTGGAATAATCTTCAAAATATACTTTATTGTATTCTTTCACATAGTTTCGGCTTTGGGTTACAATTCAATAATGTCAAGGTGCTCCATTCTTTTCTCTTACTTCATTTTCAAAGCATTCTAATTATAAATCTATTCACTCAGCCAGTGATTCTACTCATAGAGTAGAGCCTAGACTATTATACTGAATATTGGAATATTGTGTGTACTGTAGCCTAGGACGTCGCTCAGGTCGCGTAGCGAGAGGTACTTTATAAATATAAACTGGGATTATCTTCATAACTAGATATTTATTGTGTTTTTCACATATTCACTTCAAAAGGCTACTTCTAGATCTGCCAAGATCTGTTCTTTTTTCTATCCTATTTTTTTAAATACATACTAAACACATATCTATATTCATTCAGCCAGTACTTCTACTCAAAGAGTAGAGCCTACACTACAGTACACAAACAGGTAAGGTAGCTGTACTTCCCTGGACGAATTCTATAGCAGTAAAAAAAGTGGTCCGGAAGTAGATAAAATGTGCGGTTGTATGATAATCCTATCTTGGAACATGCATAATACATGCGCATTCAACACAAATAAAAAGTTCGCAAAACCTGCGGCGATCCTTTGCTAGTAATTTAGCATTGTGTTTAATTGTCCTTTCAAATTATAAAATAACGTTTTTACAGAAATGTCAAAACTTTTTTTTCTATCGAGTACATTTCGCGAGTGTGTTTAGTTTTAGTTCCATACTTACGTCCTGCGATCAAACGGTTTATTTCTGGTACCCGTTCCGGTTTTGAAGGGTAATTGGTTCTGGGGAAATTAAAGTGACATGAGACTTGTCAACTTGTCTCAGGGTGATGGGCGCAGTGCCTTTCAGATCTTTGCGTTTGAAGCTCGTGACTGGCACAGGAACTGCTATGGACAGGCGTGTCGCTTAAAACCAGACGTACGACGAGTTCGTGACTCCGTTCGGGACTTGGGTGACATGAAAAAAAAAAAACTAAAAAAGCCCGGGACACTTAATCTGTATGTCATTTATACACCAACCATTCATAAGAACCACTGTGCTTAGTTCTTCCTAATGCGTATGACAAACGAGTAGAAAGAACAGTATTAGCGCCTGTGTTGTGCCGAAAAGTAAAATTTAGGACTATTCAAGGCTAAAGTGAACCGGTATTTTCAGAGAAATGCGTATCGTCGTAGGCCACATTATCGCTTGGCCACATTAAAAAAAAATCTTCGGTCGATCCGATCGTACCAAGATGTGATCTCTTTCGTAGGCAACACGGAGTAGAGTTTCTGGAAGCGGTGGCGGCACTGGACACGGCCGGGGTGGAGCGGACCAGGCGCGCATTCTGGAAGCGGCCGCCGCCGGACCTGTGCAAGCGGGTACTCTGCCGCCTGGCGGCCAGGAAGGACGTGGCCGACTGGCTGAAGAGCGCCGAGCTGGAGCTGTACCAGAAGGCCGTGGAGCTGCTGCTGCCCGACGTGCTGCGGCCCATCCCGCCGCAGCTGACGCAGGCCATCCGCAACTTCGCCAAGTCGCTGGAGTCGGCGCTGGCGGCGGGCGCGGGCGGGGCGCCGGCGGGGGCTGCG